ACAGGTGTTGTGCCGCTGAGCTAAATCTCCAGCCCCTAGAGCTTTTTTTTGAGACAGGGTCTCACTGTATAGTTCAGGCTGCCTTTGAACTTACCATGCAGCCCAGGTTGGCCTTGAACTCATAGCCATCCTCCTGCTTCAGCCTTCTGAGTGCTGGGATTATAGGTGTGCCCTAGATTTCTTACAGACATTTCTGCCTGGGGCAAAAGATGATGGTCTCCTTCATACTCATATGTTGAAAAGCTAACCCCCATGGTGGTGGTGTTTAGAGGCAGAGTCTTTAGGAGATGATTAGTCCTGAGGACTTTGGAATTGGTGTCTTTACAAAAGAGGCCCCCCAAACCCACCCATCCTCCCACCCCATGAGGAGGTGTGCTGTCTGTAAGGAACAGGGCCTCCCTGGACACTGAATCTGCTAGTGCCTTGATCTTGAACTTTTCAGCCGCCAGAACTGTGAGGAATAAATGTCTGCTGTTTGTAAGGCACCCAACTATGGTATTTCTGCTAGAGAAGGCTCAGCTGATTAAGATCTTGTAAAGCACATTGCAATTTATAACTCTCAGCATATGTTGTTATTTGCCAAAAAGATCAGATATTTTAAACTAAGCAGAAAGATAACCCAGGTACCTGCGCCAAGTTTTCCATTTTATCCTAGAGTCAGAGCTCTTGTTGTTCTAGGTATTTGAGAAAAGCAAAATGTATATGCTCATACTATAACACATGGGGCTGGGGATATAGCACAGTGACACATGTGCCTGCCTGGCAAGCACAAGGTCCTGAGTTCGATTCCCAGTACCAAAAACAAAAAACAAAAAAAGAATTTCATACTACAACACACACAACTTTATGCAGCACACACACATACGTATACTAATCGTATACCCACACGCACCCCGAGTTACACACCACAACGATACACACTAATCACACACCACACACATCCCCTTACCATATACCATGCACATACATAATTGCATACCACACACACATACTAAACACTAAACATACCCCAACATATCTGTAACAGCAACATCTCACACAGGACATACACAAGAAGCTCATACTCCACACATCATATGCCCCTCATACATATACTCAACACTAGGCACACAACACATGCATCATACACACCCAGGACCCCTTGCCAACAGCTTCAGAGGGCTCCCAGACATTCTGAGGCCCACACCCCAGAAGCCCAACATGTCTCTTCTCCCCTTCTCCGAGTTGCTTCTCCAATCTCAGGACATTTGCAGGGAAACCCCAGGTAGCTCTGGCTGTCACATCTGAAGCTATGCAAAACATGTGGGCTCTGATAAACAGACCTGGGATCTGTCACTAGCTGTACACAGCTGAAGTTTCTGTATCCAAGTGGCTGGTGAAGGAGCCCGTCATGTACTAATTCTGACCTGAGGCCCCGCCCTGAAGGCTAAGGAGCCCCAGGGTCCCTGCTTCCTGTATACCTTCTACACACTTTACGTATATGAACTCATTTAATCCTTTGCACCAGAGCTTTTAGTCTCATCTGCACATTACAGATGGAAAAACTGATCACACAGCTAAGTGGCAGAAGTGGAATCCAAACTCAGGCAGGGGGCTGGGGATTTAGCTCAGTGGCACAGCGCCTGCCTGGCAAGCGCAAAGTTGTGAGTTTGATTCCCAGTACCGGAAAAAAACAAAATTAAAACCCACTCAGGCAGGCTGGGCGGCTCCCAGGCACCTGATTATTCTGTACCTCCCCAAAAGGTTTACTCCGCTTTTCTTCCCTTATGGACGCCCGTAAACACCTCCTGCAAATTCCTAGGGTGGCTCTAACACAGCATTTACCGCTGCATATTATGCTGTGCAGATTTGTAAATCTGTCTCCTCACCTTGGACTCCTATCCCGGCTCTGGCCCACAGCTGGGTACATACTGGGATTCAGGACTAAACCACAGAGAGGCAGATAACAAAGAAGTGAAGAGCAGGCGCCCTGGGACCGGACAGCTGCCTGCTGGCTTCAGCACTGTCTAGCTGTGTGCGTGGGCAAATCAGTTTACTCCTGTGGGCCTCAGTGACCTCATCTGAAAAACAGGCACAATAAACATTTCTGCCATTGAACGGGCTCCACATAGAGACACTAACTCCGACTTGACAGTTTAAAGGTCCTGTGCTATCTCAGCTGGGGAGGAGGTGAAACCGGTGCACATCCTTTAGAGTACACTGCACAGCACTTCATACCAATCAGCCACATTCACCGTCCTGATGACCGGAAACCCCACCATGTGCAGAGGTGGTTCTGGCTGAAAAAGCCCCTTGGCTCACTGGGTCCTAAGCCACTGGCTCTCAGACCTGCAGAGCCCAGGGCTGACCTCTTGCCTCAGCCCTCCGCAGCCCCAGCTGCCCCTCACCTCTGCCGTCATCTTGGCGATGAGCCCGGCGGAAATGGCCCCGCTGAGCACGTTCCGCCTGAGCCCGGGGTTCCTGGGGTCCTTGAGGTTGCTGATGCGGCTGCGCACGCGGTTCCGGTACTTCATGTCGGTGCTCTTGAGCTCCTGGTAGATATGTGGCAGAATCAAGGGCCAAACAGCCATCCCTGGAGGGCACAGAAGGAGGGCACAGAAGGAGGGCACCCGGGGCCATCTCTTCCTCTATCCGGCCTCCTATGGGGGTCGGGAAGCACCTTTGTGTCCTCCAGCTCCCCACCGGGGGTCTCACTGGGCACTTGGGGTCAGTGGAGCATCAGAGACAAGAAAGAGCGTCAAGCTGAGGTTAGATGGTAGGAAGTACTACGGTGCTAGGGACCCGGGAACAGACACCCTTGCTTCGTGTGACCTTAGATGAGCCACAGGACTTCTCGGTGCCTCTGTTGTCTCATTTATAAAACTCAGGGCTGTTATGGAGTGAGCCGAGTCACAGGGTGTGCGGGGGTGATGTCTGGCACTAGCAATGCTCAGCATTCATGGGCTGTTAAAATGACGACAGCATGCCAGAAGTGGTGGCGCACGCCTATAATCCCAGTACTCAGGAGGCTGTGGCAGGAGGATCGTTGTGAGTTCGAGACCAGCCTGGGCTACAAAGTGAGCTCAAGGCCAGCCTGAACTGCATAGCGAGACCCTGTCTCAAAAAGACAAAAAAAAAGGATGATGACAGCAACAAAGATGACCTCTAGTCTAGAAGGCCTCTGGACGCTGAGAGTCTGTCTGTCAGAGGGTAAGATTTAGATCCACCTGTGCAAAGCTCTAAGAAGCACTACAAAGAGAAATCGTCTAGCTTTGCATAATCGGGTGGTCCCAACATTTTTGGTCATTGATTCTCTTCCCGTTTTCCTTAGCAATAGACGTTGTCATCCCTTGGAGCCCACCTTGGGAAGGGATGGCCCGGTTCTATTCCCATTAATAAAAGGGCAGGCTGGAACTTAGACAGGATACAGGCCTTTGCTCAAGGCCTCAGGGAAGAGTCCCAGCAGAGGCAGGGCTGGGAGCCAGTCCCTAACGGCAGCAGCGCTGTCTCCACTCAGCCAAAGGAAGTCAGGTGCCCCCGGCCACCAACCGCAGTGAGCTCCCGTCCAAACGCCGCGTCCCAGACAGGGCTCCCACGCTCCGCCCTCGGGCGGCACTCAGGGAACACAGCCTCCTGCTTGGTCTGCTGAGCCAAGCAGAGCCAGGAAGATAAAGCCTTTGCTGGGAAAAACCTCAGACAAGAGAGAGGCTGTGGGGAGCGAGGAAAATGGAAACGGCTGATTTGCTAGAGGCGGCGGGAGGGAAGGTGGGGTTCTTTCTGCTGTTGTCGTTTTAACGTTCTCTGTACCATACAAATGTGAGAAGGAAAAAAAGGTGAGAAGAAAAGAATATGCCACAATGCCTCTGAGAGCCCAAATATATGTTCAAAAATCCACCATTCAGCATCTGTGGTGTGTGGCTCTGCTGAGGTGTGGGGCGGCTGGGCTCCTCCTTTTTGACTCCTCCTTTTCTTTGCCAGGACCACAGGGGAGGCTGAGGCGGGGAGCAGCCCCGGGACCTCTGACACCTCAGAGGGGTGGATCCTTTTTGGGGCACAGAGTATTCAGCCTCCCACACTCATCTTCCTGTGGCTATGAGCAAAAGCATAGGAGCTGCCACCGCTTGGTCTCCTCTCCTCTGGACCAGGGGCAGGGACGTCCAGTGGGGGAGGCAAGTAAGCAGCAAAGGCCGGGCGAGGAACCAGGTCCTGAGCATCCACTTTGCTTCAGACTGGGGCCTGGAGGTGCCAGGGACCTGCTTGGAGGGACAAATGTTCTGGAGAGATGGAAGAGGAGGTCTCAATCACCAGGCTCCGTGTTCCTGGCTTACAGGAATGAGGCTGCGTGTCTGTTGAGGTGTTGGGTGGGAACTTGCTGCAGTATTACCAGCTTGTCACTGAACGGTGTCAGAGGAAAACTGGGGGATTCGAGGGGTGACCCAGGCAGGGTGGGAGAAGCCAGGTCTGAGGTCTGCAGATTGGCCCCAGTGCATCCCCAGGGGACCCACATGAGCCCCCAGGTAGACCCAGGAGGCCTCCAGAGGATCACCGACACTCCATGTGACACACAGACTCCCACTCCTTTGGGAAATCCCATCTACCCCTCTCCACGCCTCTTTGACAGGCAAACCCTTGTCTCCAGGACAAGAAATTCCATGCACCATTGAGAGAGACTCTTTCCCGAGCCAAAAATCTTCTGGCCCCTATCACAGTGAGTCACTTCCCCTGTCTACAAAAGACCCCTCTCAAATGGGAACTGAGGAGTGGGCCCTAAGGAAAGAGTTCAGCATAAGGAATTCAAAGACTGGTGCTTTCAGCCGAGCCCTGACACTCAATAGTTTCTGAGCCTCAGTTTCTTTATCTGTAAAATGGGAATAACAGCCCCCTATCTCAGAGAGATGGTTGGAAGTATTACCAGAGGTAGGAAATGTCAAATGTCGGGCACAGTGCCTGGCATCTAGCAGGGAGTCAAAAGTGGGAGCTGTGATAAGCAAATGCAGGAACGGGGAAAGGCTAAGCGTGGGACATGCCGTTGTCTCCATCTACTGGGGTCCAAGAGAAAATGACTTGATGCACCGAGGTACATCAAGACCTGGCCCCTCTGGCCCAGCAGTTGAGCTCTCAGGTTCTCCAGCCACACTTTCTGTGTTCAGATCCCAAAGCTGCAACTATTCTTAGTTTCCTAATCTTTGGCAGGGACTTTGCCTCCCTGAGCCTCAGTTGCCTTACCTATAACCAGACCAACTGGGGATCCACCTGGCAGGGTGATTCTCAATACTGATCAAGGGACAGCTTAACAGCCTAGCAGGAGGCCCTCAGGGGCAACACTTAACACTGCAGGCAGTTGGACTTGAGCAGGTACCGTTCCCCAAGCCCTCCCCCTCCGCCCCTACTAGTGTCCAGGCCCCCATGGCCCCTGCCCGGCTTGAGGATATGATCTTCAATTTCTGACGCCATCTTATCACAGTTGACTCCGTAGTCCTTGTAGTTGTCTAAAAGACAGCAAGAGATTCAGACATCAGCCAGCCTCGACCTTGCCAGGGTTGTCAGCGTGCTGGGGGACAGAGCTTTCCTGTGGCATTCCCAGGGGAGGGTGCTGGGTGAGAGGGCGTCTCTCCAGTCCTCGGGAAGCCCCTTCCCTGCTCCAGCTCTGGCCCAGGCCCCCTTACCTTCTGCCTTCAGGGCCGCTGCCAGCATCTCCACACACTTGTCCCGGACAGAGTCCCCTGTGAGGTAGCAGGGAGCCAGGAGGCAGACAGAGGGGGCGAACGTGGGAGTCAAGGGGCTGCTGGGTGTTTTGGGGGTCTCCGCTTTTGATTTGCTGCTGTTTGATCTGCGGATCACAATCGGTAAAGGACATTTACCTACTCCTTCCTTGTTTTGCCCCAGACTCTCTGCTATCCTCTGTTCATAACTGTCTGCAGGGGCCCTTTGAGAATGGGTCCCTCTAGGCAGGGAGATGACCCTCCTTTTTTTTTTTTTTTTTTTTGGTCTTTTTGAGACAGGGTCTCACTATGCAGTTCAGGTTGGCCTTGAGCTCACTTTGTAGCCCAGGCTGGTCTCAAACTCGCAACAATCCTCTGGCCTCAGCCTCCTGAGTACTGGGATTATAGGCGTGCACCACCACGCCCGGCTCTTACAGGAATTTTCTAAGTCAACTTCATAGCAGTGCCGGGAGACAGATGGTCTCATCATCCCCATTTACAGAGGAGGAGAAAAAGCAAGTGAGCTTCAAACCAAGGTATGCCTAGAATGAGGCACCATGGAGACTCCACCCCAGGGCTGTCGGATTCCAACACTTCTCTCTTAACTCTGTGATATGCCGCCTAAGAATGATCCCGTTTTGCACAAACATATACGTATATGTGCACAGAACCCTGGAAGGCCAACCACGTGTCTCAACTCAGGCTGCCCAAACAAACTGCAGTGGCAAATTCTCATCGTTCAAGACGAACTGGGGAGTTCAGGATGAAGGTGCAGCCCAAATGCATGTCTCTTCCTGGCTTGTAGATGGCGGCTCTCTCGCTGTCCCCACATGGGGCACATGAGACAGTAAGTGAGCTCTCTATGTCTCTTCTGATAAGGACACTAATCCTATTGGTTCAGGGCTCTGCTCCTATGACCTCATGTAGCATTAAGATAGCCATAAAAACCCTGTGTATAAGAACAGTCACACTGGGGTTTGGGCCTTCAACATGAGAAGGGCCGTCACAGTCACAGTGTTAATAGCAATTATCTCTCTTAGGTAGGAGCATAGGAGACTTTTTCTTGTTTTCCTTATGCACATCTTTGAAATCTATGAAGACTATGTTTACTTTTGTAATAAGCCATGTGCTTTTTTTTAACGTTTGACAGTTGTAACATTTGATAATCACTCTGTGGGCCGGGGATACAGCTCAGCGGCACAAGTGCCTGCCTGGCAAGTGCAAGGTCCTGAGTTCAATTCCCGGTACCAAAAACAAACAAACAGACAATCACTCTGTGCTGGTGGCTCAGACAGGCTTCGTATCTTCCTGTTCACAAAGTGCTGCTGAGTGTCCAGAGGTAGAAGAGTGAATAAGCAAAATATGATGCATGCATACAATGGAATACTATTCAGGCATAAAAAGAAAGCAAGTCTCACTCATACAACACAGATGAACAATGAATACGTTATAAGTGAAATAAGCCAGACATCAAAGGACAAAAATTGTATGATTCCATTCATGGAGACTTGTCAGATTCATAGTAACAGAAAGGAGGACGGTGGCCGCTGAAGGGAGGGCAGAGTGGGAAGTTCCTTAAGGAATATGGAGGCTGGCTGTAGTGGTGCACATCTGTAACCCTAGTACACAGTAAGCTGAGGCAGGAAGATCGCTATGAGTTTGAGGCCAGCTTGGTTTAGATAGTGAGTTCAAGGCCAGCCTGAACAACATAGCAAGACCCTGTCTCAAAACAGAAAAAAAAACATAAGAGTTTCAGTTTGAGAAGATGAAAAAATTCTGGAGACAGATGATCATAATGGTTGCATAACAGTGTGAATATAATCAAAGCCATTTAACTACACACTTAAAAGTGGCAAAATGGGTAAATTTTATGTTTTATACATACACATTGATAGACTTTATTTCTGCACTGGGGATTGAACCCAGGGTCTTTTTTTTTTTTTTTTTTGAACCCAGTGTCTTACACTGTTTTTTTTCTTTTTTTTGGTTTTATTTCTGGTAGGAATCGAACTCACGAACTTGCGCTTGCCAGGCAGGCCCTGTGCCACTGAACTAAATCCCCAGTCCCCTGTTTTTGTTCTCTTTTTGAGACTGGGTTTTGATATGTAATTCAGATGGGTCCTGAACTCACCATGTACCCCATGTATTTTGAGGCTGGCCTCAAACTCCGGGCAATTGATCCTCCTGCCTTAGCCTCTTGAGTGCTGGAATTACAGGCATGTGCACCACTCCCAGCTTTACACTTGCTAGACAAACACTCTGCCACTAACTACATCTCCTGCTCTGTTATATACATTTTGAAAAATCCATATAGTAAATTCAGTGACTAAGAGTAGCCAGGAAACTGGGCGTGGAGGTGCACGCCTGTAATCCCAGCACAGTGGGAACCTGAAGCAGGAGGATGGCATGTTCAAACCAAGCCCGGGTAACTCAGTAAGACTATGCCTCAAAATAAAACATCTTTTTAAAAGGCTGGGGATTTAGTGCAGTGTTCAATCCCCAGTACTACCAAACTAAACAAAACAAAACAAAAAGCAAACCAAAACCCCAAATGTGGCCAGAAAATTCAGCTGGGGATGTAGCTCAGTGGCAGAGCACTTCCCTAGCATGCACAAGGCCCTAGGTTCAGTCCCCAGCACTGCAAAAAAGAAGGAAGAGTAGCGAGGGAACTCAGAATGTGCAGTGGTAACTAGTTTGTTCTATATACTTGGTAAATTTTAATCCATTTGAAATGACAAGCTTATCTTGTTTTTCTCATGCTGAAAGAATAGAATGGCAACTTTTGTTATGTATATTTTACCACAATAAAAAATAATGAACAGAGAGCTGGGCATGGTGGTACAGGTCTGTAATCTCAGCCCTCAGAAGGCTGATGCAGGAGGATCGATGTGAGTTTAAAGCCAGCCTGGGCTACATAGTGAGTTCAAGGCCAGGCTGAACTACATAGTGAGACCCTGTCTCAAAAAGAAGAAAAAGAATGAACTATTAGTACAGGGGCCGGTGACGTAGCTCAGTGGTACAGCATTTGCCTCACAAGTGCAAGGTCCTGAGTTCGATTCCCAGTACCCCCCCCAAAAAAAATTAGCACAAGCCAACAAAATACCAAGCTGACGCTCAGACTCCAGTTGTCATCAGTCCCTCTGAGTCCTCCCAAACAGAAGCTGGTGGTGCAATGAGGACCCTTGCCCTGCATTTCTGTGGCTGTCTCTGCAATTAGCTTCAGATGCCAGCGCCTTCTCCTGAGGTTTAGGAAAGGACCATGGATCACCTTACAGTGTAATTAGATCCATAAAATGTGTCGAGGGGTGGTGAGGAGGCATTGGCCACTCAGAGGGGGGTGGGGACAGTGCCCTCTGGACAGGGTCGCATGGGAGCAGCAAGTCTGCAGTTCACAGGCAATGTGGAGGGGCTCAGCACGCTGGGGCACGGGAGAAGCACAGCGATTTGGTGATAGCTGAAGAACTCCTCTGCTTTCACAGCCATTTCTGAGGAGGAGCCTGGCCCTGAGGAAGTCTTCGTCCACTTTTATCTCTACTCTTTTCATCTTATCCTTCAGAAACCTACCGGCATCTGCCAGCCAGTTCCCGTGCCTTCGTTCAGAAAAAAGCGCATCAGAGTCAAAGAAAGTAGGGTTCCCTCCTCCAGTCCAGTGGCCGACGACATTGAGCCCAAGAGGCTGCTGGTTTCCTAACTCCGGGGGCAGCCTTCACACTGTTACCTCCGTACCTCCTGGATTTGTACAGTGCTCAGTCCGGGCAACTGCATCGGGCAGCCCTGGGGTCTAGATCTGCAGCTCCTTCTCACATTTACTTTCGGTGTGGAGATATACTTCTTTCTTCCAGGAAGAAAGGGGTGCTGAGCTTCTGAGAAAGTCTTCAGGCCCACAGAGTTGTGTCTAAGAGTAAGGTTGACTGAATAGCCCTACTAGCCTTTTGGAAAGGTGCCAGTATTCAAAACTTGGGTCCCAGTGTTAAAAACCTAGGGGGACAAGAGAATCCCGCCCAACATCCTGAGAGCCTTCCTAATGCGGACTTTGCCAGTGGCCACTTTGTCCATCAACCTTTGCTGTTTTGCCTGGCTTCAGACCCCTGCTGTCACCACTGACACCCCTGAATCACTGGAGACTTGATGGTCCTCAAAGCTGTCTTTGCGTCGTCCCACTGGTAAGGTGGGCAGGGGCATAGTTTCTGCTCTTGTCTAGTGTATACTTTGAATTCCAAAAAATTTTGTCCAAAAGGATTCCCTTGCTTGTATTTGTTCTTTTTTATTTTCATTGTTTGCAGTCCTAAGGGTGGAACCCAGAAGCACTCTCCCGTGGAGAGTGGGACACACCCAGCCCTTTTTATTTACTGTGAGACAGGCTCTTGCCAAGTTGTCCAGGCTGGCTTCAAACCTGCAATCCTCCTGCTCCACCCTCCGGAGTAGCCAGGGTTATAGGCATGCACCATCTTTATGCATTTTTAATGCAGTTTGCAGCTTTACTGTTCTAGACTAATTTGCCCTTGATTCTACGCAAACCTGCCTGACCACAGGGTGGCTGGGAGCAGAACCGAGTGGTGAGGAAGCTGAGATTCGAAGTGAGATTCTCTCCTGGCTGCAGCAGGAGGGAAGGGCTAAGGGAGGAGGCCTGGGAGCCCTGAGCTAGGCCTCCCTGCACCGGGCCCAGGTCCCGCCCCTGGGCTCTCACCTGCACAGCCACAATAGCCCTGAAGCTGGCTCCGTGGTCCTCCTGCCTCCTTAAAGTCCATTTGCCGCGCAGCAGCCAAAGGGACTTGAAAGCTTGGCACTGACTGAGTCACTCCCGGGTTCGGATGCCCTAAGGGCTCCATTTATTTTCAGCATCAAGTCAAACTTCTCACCACGGCCTCCCAGCCCCGCCCTGTCCCCTCTAACCTAATGTCACGGCAGACTGCCCTCTGGCGTACGGACGATCCCCACAGCGCTGCTTCCTCCTGCTCCTTACACACCCCGGGCCCCGCTGCCGGGCTCACTTTCCGCAAGGGCGGGTCCCCCTCCTGGAAGCCCCTTCCTCCTCCACTGCTGCCTTCCCGCCAGCCCTGGCTCAGCTCAAATGTCACAGCCTCCGGGAGGCCTTCCCTGACCACCTCCGCCAGGGCACACTGCCCCT